GCCAGCCAGGCTCCATGGTGATGGATCTGCACCCTTGTTGCACCAGGGCGCCAGGTTATACTGCTGGGGTCAGCACAGGTGCTGGTCCCAGCCTCCCCTACCCCGGACAATTTGCTGTGTCACACATGCAGGGCCATGCATTGGGGCACAAAGCAACAGCACAAATTTGTTCCACGGCTACCTGTGCCTCTATAAGCACACAGCCCTGCATATAGGGATCCACCCTAAGGCTGTGTCCATGCAAGCATGGATGTTTGGTTCCACCTTGTGCCGCTGCTAGTTGTTCCCAGGTATGCCTGTGCCACAAACCCTCTGGTACACAACAGGTTACTCCGGGTGGGGTAGGGAAGGCTGGGGCGACCACTGGACTGGTTCCAGCAGCCTTATCAGGAGTCCTGGGGGCCTCCTAGGGCTGCAGCGGTGGCAGTGCTGCTGCTCAGAGCCTGGCCAGGAACTGGAGCATAGCTCTGGCCAGCCAGGCTTCAGTTTTGAGCAGTGCATGCTGCCCCCGCATATACTGCTCTGCTTTTTTTTGTGTGGGTTTTTCTGCCCCCTGTATACCCAAGGATCAAAAAAAAACCCTGTGCTTCTACCTTGCAGCACAGAGAACAGCTGAATGTGCAGTATGTGGCGCCACATACTGCACGGCTGCACTCATCTGGACGCAGTCTAAGAGCCTGACTGCCAACCAGGGCTGTCTTTACCAAAACAAAACTGGATTCTCAAGTTTTGAGGAGGGCTTTCAAGTGGGTTCTATAAGACGGAGTTTATCTAGGGTGGCCTCTTGTGCAGATATAAAGGAACTAGTGCATAAGATTATTTTGACTACACTTTGCTATTGCCTGCTCGGTGAAATTATTAACTTGACCTTACTATTTTTCTCCCTCCCATCCATCCTTCCTCCCATATTCATTTCTAGCATACTAGAAACACAGCACTACTGCTGTAAGGTATTGCTGGTTCTCAGATATCATTTTAAGACTGAGATAAACTACGTCTACATGAGACGGGTTCTCAATAATCTGGCCATCCAATGGGACAGTCAACTCCTGCACCAGATGCCTTTCCCTCTTGAAGCAGGATGAGTGCTCTTGGAGACGGAAGGCATGATGGGAACAGTACTCCCCTCTGCCTCTCTTTCCCTGAAGGATTCACTGTAGCCGCTGTAACCAGTATCGGGGCTGAGGTCAGCACAGACTAGCCCTTGGAATCAGAAGGTTGTAACTAGAGCAGTTTGGCAACAGGAAGGAATCTAGCCCCTTCAAGTGGAATTAAACTGTGCTGGCCCTCTGCGCAGAGGAATGTTGTACAAACTGAGCGAGATATACCCTTTTATTTGCTTTTTCATTACGTAAGCCCTCCTAATGTTATGCCTCAAAACCAAGCATAGCAATAAGAAAATATAAAGCCAGCCAAGCTTTGTGTTTTTAAACTATATCCGTGACTGAAAGAGACAATTAGAAACATAACAGGAAAAAAAGCAGTGTAGAGGGCAGGTTTCTGCAGGTCCCAAAGAAATCATCTACACAGTAGAGTCAGTCTACATAATCCCCAACAAACCTACTGTTTTCAGCTGCTTGATAAACAAAATGTGTGCCTGCATTATAAATTGTTGCACATTGTCCAGCAAAAAAAAAATTAAAAAGTCTTCCTATACACATTCTTAAACAATTTCTTGCAGCAAAACATACTGCTAGCAAACAATTAATTACAAAGATGCTTTTTTCATATAAATAAGAAAGTGTGTTTAACTCACTGGTACATAGTAATAAAATTATCCCTAAATCACTTATTACATTAAGCAAGATAAATAATTTCTCTCTTGGACATTAACAGGAAATCTGCATTAAATTATCTTTAAAAAATAAATCAACCCCCCCCCTAAAAAAAATTAAATTAAACCAATGAACCAATCAAAAAAAACCCCTGCCCCACAACAAACTCCCCAGGCTGTAACAATTATTGCACAACTAAAAAAAAAAAGCTTTGAAAACCATATTGAACTACTAGAAACTACTGTATGTATAAAAGAATTCGATAATTCAGAACACTCTGCTACATTCTTCCTAGAAGAACTTACAGTTATCTACAGAAAAAAACACTTAAATATAAAATGTGAAAGTATTGTTTTGGCTGAATGCAACAGCAATCTTCAGGATTAAAGTCATCAGAATGAAATAGTGAAAATACTACTTGGAGGGGCTTTTAAAATTGTTTCTTAAATTGTATCTCAATGAGCAAAGAGAAAACAATAGAGAACTATCATTATGACCCACTGTCTTCAAAATTTGTACTCTCAGCTATATGCATACATCACCCACTGACTTCAGAACAAAATGTATGTTGAACAAGGGCAGAAGTGTGTCCCTACAACTAGGGAGTTTTTATGCCCTGGAGCTCATGGTTTAAAGGGATACTGTCAACCTCTTTTTACAAAGACAACTCTTTACTACGTAAGTTTATCACAGAAATAATTTTGTAGATAACTTCTTACCATTAATATTGTTTATCTCTTGTGCTTTTTGGGGGGAGCAGGGATTGGACTTCCTCCTCTGTATGAAAAGCACCTGCCATAGTGTAAGTGCTACCAGAACCAAACAATCACAGTTTGGCAAAATGAGACTAGACTGGCAGCTTTTTCTTTTGGTTTAATTGACTTCATTTTCTGGTTTGCCTACATAAGTGTGATGCTGCTGTTAATCTGGATCATAATTAAATTGATCAAATGAATGTACATAATCAAATTGTCAAACTTGCCTGGAAAGATAAAGAAAGCAGTGCTATTAAAATACTTCTGTTGAGACTGGCCTTGTTAAGCAAGCACTCCTACACATGGAGACATGATCATGAACACAAACACATTGCTTTATGAAATATAAATTCTTGGCCAAAAACTGGTTGACAATGTCCCTTTAGGATGAATATTCCCTTAACTCTCCTCCTCTAGGAAGGAAGTAATATGCTTTTGGCCTCAAGGTGTTCAGTGCATGCTTCTCTGCACTCCAGCACTGTCTGTGTTTTGCTGATGGGATTAGCTGGTGCTATGAGGAATGCTGTTTAGAAGGGCAAGTGGGTCAAACCCATCACTCTTCTCCTACAAGCAGTGCCACTGAAGTCATGTGAGTGAGGATTGGGCCTATTGTTTTCACAGCACCTAACTCTATACAGACATTGGCCCCAATCCCTGCTTCCAAGTCAATGACAAAAGTCCCACTGATTTCAGAGTGAGCAGGACCAAGCCCCTTGTTTCCCTCCATGACCTCTCCCATTCCTACTCATCCTTGAAGCTGTCACTCCAATATGCCATCAGTAAATTCAGAGATGAAGGAGACTCCTTTGTAATGCAACTAGATGCAGATCATTGATGGAATTTCAATAAAACCTAATTTGTAAAAGTAAGTAGAACACCCTACTCTGTTCAATGCCAAGGGAAATACTGGACTTGATCTACTCCCCACATAAAAGCAGGGGCTGTTGAGCCCCCAGGTGAAGCAATCATCCTTCCCATGAGAAAAGAGAGGTGGCCTCTTGCTGGTGGGGCTTTCTGGATCAAGCTGCTGGAGATGCCTAGGTAAAGATCTTAATCCTTGGGTACTTTTATCAAAACCAGCCTTACCCTATGCAGGGATCTTGCAGGGATTGTGCTGGTTTCAAAGCCCCCCTGGAGCAGGACCCTTTCCACACCAGGTTCCCCTGTGTTACATGATGCGTTCCCTACAATGAACCAAGCCTCATAAAGTCTATCTGACCTTTATAGATATTTTAAAAAATGGCACTGTATTAATTTTTGTCCCGATGTATGACTGAGCTTTGTTTGAAAAACACAAAGGGTTTCCTGGTAACAGGTAATGTCACATTTTGTGATTTTAATGTGAAATTTATTTAATGAATGATTAGGGCTTTCAGGTATTACCAGGGAAGCACTTCCAAATCAAGACATATTAAAGGACAAAACAGCGGAGAGAGAGAGAACAAGGTAGAGAAAGAGCATTAAATTCATGAAACAGAATCTCTCTCTAGTAAAGCAACTCCCTTGCAGTACCATGGGTTTTGACTTATAGTAGAGAGATCTGCAGTTAGGAATAGTCATGTGACTGTATACAGCTGAATAAAAAAAAAATCCCTTATTCCCATCTATTCTATACATACTTTGGCATCCCATTTTGCCTCAGAGTGTTAAGTGCTCACAGACTACAGCTGATAATGCAAATACTTAAATAGCAGGGCACCAGGAGGGATGGTCATCTTCAACGCTTTCTTCTTTTCTTCCCTCTTCCAACCAGCTGTGATGAGCAGTCCCCTAACCTGCCATATATGTGTGTCTCCTTCCCAATTCAAACATTGCTATAATGCTGTGAAACTGTGGAAATCTAAACACAGATTTAAAAGAATTTTACTCACTGGGCACATTTGATTTATGTTAAAGATTTTGTTCTTAGAGTGTAAACATATTTACGTGAGGTTCAGGTGAAGCCCCAGTCTGCAGGAGATCCCCTCAGGCCACACTGTGTACCTCACCCAACTATAGTCCAAGGTGAAGAATACTGTTGTTCAATACAAATACAGATGCACACCTCATAATTCAATCCTTCCCTATTTTCCATCACCTAATCACGCACGTTTATCCCAAGTAACAGCACACAAAACAAGCAGACATCAACTTTTTTGATGCAGTGGGTTTTGAAACCACCCAATGGGAACAGATTAGTTTCTCTTCTGAATAATACATTGTTATTAATAAATTAAACATTGACCTACATAAACCTCCTTGGTACCTGTGGTGCTCAGCTATTATCAGAGATCAGAGAAGAAACACGTGTCTTCAAGTATTATAGCTTCTTTTCTTTTTTCTTTTTTTTTTGCTGCTATCATTGATGTAATAGTAGTACAAACTGGACCAGGAAAAAAGTTATGTTCCCTGTTTTAAAAAGAACAGCATGGTATAAGGCAGTCTATCAAAAAGAGCAGTCTTTTTCAATCCCCCTATGAGCTTACGTCAGCTATTGCAGCAAACACGGCAGAACCACCACAACAAGCCAAAAGCCACATTTCCGGATATAACACTGAACGGCTCTCAACCCTTTGCTCTTTCTGAAACCCCAGCATGATGTTTAAGAAAAAAACAAAACAACCAAACAAAACAGCCCCCACCCATCACCCCAATATTGATTAAAGTTAATGCCCTTTTTGGGGGGCACCAAGAGACTCTTCCAGTTTCACTGCCTTCTTTATTTCCAGGCACCGCCGTGCACCTAACACAGGCCACCCTGACGTCTTCTGGTTTTGGCCATATGAAAAGGTTTCATTACATTTTCCTCTCTCCAGTCTCTGCTCATTTCATTTGAGGCGCTGAGTCACATTTGCCAAAGCAACTGCAAAGGCCTGCACTGCAGAAAACGGATACTGAAAGTCCAAAATGTAAGCGTTGCCATCAATCCTTCCAAACTGCATTACCTAGGGAAGGGATAAAGGCAGAAAGAAGAAGAAGAAAACAAGAGACAATAAGTTAAAAGGTGGGAGATGTAGAGAATTAACTTGGAAAAGAGCAAGATCACCATATCCTCACTTAGACTGAATAGTACTTTGTTTCTACTGAATCCCCCGCCCCCCATCCTGGCAGATCCACATGGGCCTCTGGCATATACAATTAGGTCACGGAAAGCCATCTGTAAGGAGGCTCCTTGATCTCTATAGTTCCTGGTCCCAGTGGCCTTCCAAGCTCCTTGTGAACTCTGGCCAAAGCCTCCATCCGGTCACAACAATGAATGCAGAGCTCTGAGGCATTGCCTCTGCTTACTACTTGTCATAAGGCCAGAAGGAAATACAATTTGTATTGCCACTGGCCCTGTCTTTGCCTGCCCATGTTTCCCTCTAAACTCAGTCCCCTGCCTCAGCACAGCCTCTGAGCAGTTAGACCTGACTGAGGGAAGAGAAGATCTATTTGTGAGCATCCTATCAGGCAGTGCCCTTCATTCCTGGACTGAGGAGAGAGTTGTCATGAGAAGGAGGGCACCTGGGTGTCTAAGGTTGTTGAGGATGTGGGATAACTGAACTATACAGAGAAAGAGCATGTGAGCGACTGTTTCTGTGGATGAGGTGGAGTAGTGCCTCATTTGATTTGGGGAGGGGACCACTTCTGAATGAAACCACACCCCACTCAAACATGCAGGTTCCTGACTTCTGTGGGTCAAGCACAAAAGGTAGGAGTGAGGGGTGGCACCAGGCCCCAGGGCCCAATCCCAGCACGAGGTGTGTGGGAGGTGGCAATGCTGGGCTCCCAGGGCCCAATCCAGGCACACAGGGCATGAAGGTGCACTGCCAGGTCCCAGGGCTCAATCCATCCTGTGGACCACCCCCACATCACTTATCTAGCCCATGGGGCCAAAAGGTTGAGCACCACTGGACTATACCATCAACACAGTCCCTTCTACCATTAAACTCCCAGATATCCTGTGTATTAGAACAAGAGTGTGAATGAGGACAAAACTTTGAAACAGTTGCTGGGATTCACCAATGCTGCTACAGACCACCTATCATCAGCCATTAATAACTTTAGGCATTACCAGTTGCAGCGTTAACAGCCAAAAATTTTGCTTTCTTCCCTGCCTTAACTCATGAATTAGTTGAATTAATTACCATATTTACCCAAATCCAAGATGACTCTGAATTTTAAGACAACCTCCCAATAATTTGATTCTAGACATGGAAAATGTATACATTTTTTAAATTTTCCATGTATAGAATGTAAGACTGTCTTAAATTTGTTCCCCTCACCACTGCAGCAGGGAAATCAGTGGCAGGAGGGCAGGCAATAGGAGGGGCAGGTGGTAGGATGGGCAGGTGGTAGGGGAGACAGGTGGTGTGGTGGCAGGTTTTAGGGGGTGGGAGGTGGAGAGGAAGTAGGGGACACAGTGGGGAAGTAGGCAGTGGGGGAGCAGGTGGAAGGGATGTGGTACAGGGGTATGCATAAGCAGGCAGTATGGGGGGGAATCAAACACCTTGCCCCTGGCTGTTTGTCCCCCCCTCACTTGCCCCCCTTATGCCTGCTCCCCCACTGCCTCTGCCCCCTGCAGTCTTGTGCTTCCCGCTCCTTCTTTCCCATCTCCCCCTACTGCTACAACCTCTACCACCCCACCTGTCCCCGTCCTCCCCACTAACCCTTGCTCCAACACCAGCTGGCTTCATTTTCACTCCATCCTGGGGCATGGAGCACAGCCCAGACTGGCCCCACAGCAGTGACAGGGAGGCCAAGGCTACAGAGGGGTGGGGGAGAGAGATGGTGGGTGAGCAGAGGCTGTGGGGAAGGAAGAGATGGGGGGAAAGGCAGCAGGCAGGTGAGGGTCTGAGGCTGTGGGGGTAGGAGAGAGAGGCAGCCGGGGGTAGGCAGGCAGCAGTAGGTCGGGGTCAGTGCCACAGCAACCACCTGCTGCCCCACTGCCCCATATTCAATTCCAAGACAAGGTGCTTTTCCCCCACTTAAATGTGGGTTAAAAATTTAATCCTGGGATCTAGTAAATACAGTAGCTAACTCTCTATAGTAACTCTCTATTAGTGAGTTGTCCTAAGATGAATAAAGGCATTTCCCTGTATCTGACCAAAACAGGATAACAGTGTGTTTTCCTGTGTTTACTGCTGAACCTCACCTCGCCCCGCATCTCTACTGGCAGACCTCTGATCACCAGCCGTGAACAAGCTTGTTGCATAGCAAGTTTCTCCAAGAGCAGCAAGGCTCATGCAAGCCAGAGGCCCACTCCAGCAGCCATGAAGCAAAACAGCTTCTCTGACACAGGCTTCCATGCTGCCCGCCCTCCTGCAGCTTGTTACTGCAGTTGTCATTATCCTCCTACCTGTCGTCCTTCCAGCTCAATCTGGAAGTTTTTTGCAGACTCCTGGGTCACCCGCCCTCCAAAGTCCAGTTGGTATACTTGGGTGGCCTCGTTCCACAAGGGCTGCTTGTTGGCCATTACGTACACAAAACCCTGGCTGCCCAGCCTTCCATCCTCCTTCTCATTGGCCTTCCGGCACTTGAATTCATCCAGCTCACTGGCTGTCCTCATATTCCTTTTGGTTTTCCACCCCTTTTTGCTGCCCTGGCTCTGGTTCATCAGTTCATCTCCACTGATAAAAAGCTCTGGCTCACTCTCTGAGCTGTCCTGAAACTCATTTGTCTTGTTCAGCTTCTTTGACTTCAGTTGGTCCTTCTGGCTCTTGACTTTCTTCTTCTCCCTGCCCAGCCTGGGGCTGGATATTAGAGAGTTGAAGTCGGTCAGTGTCCTCGCCTCCTTTTTGACCTTGCCCTCTGTGATAGCCTGCACATTTCCTTCCTCAGCTCGACTATCCAGGCGTTTCCGGTTCTTCTTCCCAAACTTGTCTGTCCTTTGAGGGACAGGGCTTTCTGTCAATGAGAGCACCTCCTGGAAGGTGTCCGCTGTCTCCACCATTACTTCTGTACCCACATGACCCTGAAGCTCTGCTGGTGGTGGAGACATAACCGGTTTCTCCACCACAAGGAGTGGCTTAGGGGGCAACGTGCCTTGGGCATTAGGTACAGGTGGGCATGCGCTGTAGGAATTCCATGGGTGCAAGGCTACTGGTGGAAGCTGTAAACTAGAGCAAGTGCTACCGCCTGGGTACATGGGTGGCAGGGGGCAATAAGAGAGGTTAGATGGATAACCTGGCTGAAGCACAACGGCTGGCTCCTGTTGTGCAAATTGCGTTGGGGCCAGAGCTTCTTTGGGGGAGCAGGGGGGCTGCATTCCCTGAAGAGGAGGGGCACCGTAGCTTCCTGGGTAAGGTACTCCAACTCCATAACTCGTCTGGAAAGTGGCAGTGGGACTGGTTGGAGACTTAGGGGAAACGAATGGCACTCGAGACATGTCCAGATGCTGAGCCTGACCAATTATTAGAGGAGCAGGCTTAAGAGGGTTGGGCACTGAACTCTGAGCTGTCCTTTCTTGAGGAACCCATATGTCCTCACTCACCATGGGGTCCCACTGGTATGGGGGTGGCCGCTTTACAACAATGGCAGCCTCTGTCAAGGCAACGGGCACGTGCCTTATCGATTTTTCCACAGGGCAGTGCTGAGCCAATGTCTCATCCTCTGTGAAGGCAGAGTTGATATAATCTGTCCGGTCACGAGAACTGTCAGGAGGGCTCAGCAAGTTGTAGGAGGACTGGGAGGTCAAGGGAGAAGTGCTGATGGAGTGAGCAATGATAGAGCTGTGCTGGGAGCCACTTGCTGCACTTAAGTCAGGCCTCATACTGTTAATGCTACTAGTGATGTTGCTAGTATTGGCACTGCTGAGGCTCCCAGCACCACCACTATTTGGGTTGGGGCTGCTGTTACTGCCACTGCCATTGCTGCACTGGCTACAGGTATATAAAGCTGTTGGTGCCCTCTGCTGGTACTGTGCTGTTACAACATTGTTCTTGGGCTTGGGGGGAAGTTGCAAAGTGGCTCTTTGATTGTCGACCAACTGGGCCATTTTCAGAGCTGCCTCTCTGCTGTTTCTCCGCAAAGTAGCATGGATAAGACTGCTGTCCAGCCTCTGGGTAAGGCTACGGCCCTGTGAGAGCTGGCCAGCAATCTCCGGGTAAGGTGGTGGGTCCCCAGTTGGGACAGAGTAGCGGGGAACAGTGAGCCTGTTCAAAGTCGCGCTGGTGCGGGGCTGCTGCATCTTCTTCTCTGCTGCTGTAATCCTCAGCGTGGCAGAGCTGCCAGGACCAGGCAAGGTGTAAGTGTTCTGCGCGCACAGCATCCTTGTCCGAGGCCGGCACACCTCTTCGACATTTCCACTGCTATCAAACGTTGTTATTCGCTCATAGCCAAGAGGGGTCTGATAATGTCCTGCCGGGTACAGGGAAAAATCCCCCTTCTTCAGGCAGAGATCCACCGGTGGCTGAGGAGGAGGAATGGGTGGGGGAGGGGGTGCGGTGGTAGGTGCTGCTGGTATGGTCCCAGGGTATGGAGGGGGTGGGTTCATCTTGTTCAGCTGTATTTCTTGAGCGGTGCTGAAGACAACAGCATCTCCTTCCACCAGCTGCTGAACTGGCCGTAAAGTTTTTGCCTTCTGGAGATGTTCGTGATCTCTGTCTCCTTCTCTGTGGTCCATTATAGCCATCTGTATTGCACCCTGTGATGGCAGGGGAAGTGGAGGTGGTGCCTGGATGATGCGGCTCATTTCCACTCCTCCAAAAATCACCTGTCCTGGGTTGGAGTACCTGCTGGGGACTGGGTACTGCACTGTGCTCTCACTTGTGTGGTCTGAGGTCCCCACGGCTGTTGTCTGATTGGTCAAGACATCCAACTGCACGTTCTGATTGGCCAACAAGGACTGGACCAGCCCAATGCTCTGAGTTGGTGACATTGCCTGGGCTGAGCTGTGAATAGGAGCAATAGGGATATTCACAGTGCAGGGAGGGTTGTTCTCAGGGACTCCAGAAGCTCCAGTTACTGCAATGAAAAATCATAAGCAGGTATTAGAGGCTGCTGCCATTTAAAACAAAGAAGGGGAAGTATTAGATTCACTCGCCATGTCTTGTAACATTATTGCCTGATTTATATTTGCAATTGGGAATTTGTATAAGCCATGAAACACTACTGTTATTATTACCACTTTTCACAACATCAGCTATGGCCCTGATTCAGCCAAGCTCTTAAACAGAGGTTTAACTTTCAACATGTGTATAGCCCCAGGTTAAAGTCAATGGGACTATACATGTCCTTAATGATTTTCCTGGATTAGCGCTTTGCAAAGCATCACAGGTGTACATGGCACTTTCCCCACCTACAGCAAGACACATTTTCTGCATCTAGCGCAGCGGGTGACAAGCACAGTGTGACAGTTCAGGGAAGAGAAAGTTGGGAGAATTATTAGTAAAGAGGAGGATTCATGGAATCGGTAGGTTTCAAGAGGCATTTGGAGGAGGAGAAGGGCGGAGGAGAGGGAGAGAGAGAGAGAATGAGAACAGTGAGATATTTCCATGTGTACAAGACTTGGGGGTAGGTGACAAAGAGAACAGTAATGCAAAGGGATGGGGAGGATGCTAAACAGCTAAAACAGCTAGTGGGTGGGATGGAAGGGAGCTAGAAACTGCAAGATCTTGAAGGTGATAGCATGAAACTTGAAGGTAATGCAGTAACAGGCAGGAAGTCAGGGAACGGGTTCACAGTGAGGTGAGGCTGCCAGGAAGACAATGTTAACATCAACCCTTGGAACAGACTGGAACTCGGAAAGGGGTAATGCAGAGGTTGAGAGGAGAAGGTTGCAACAGTTTCCATGAAAGCTGACCAAGCCTCGGGTATAGCAAGGAAAAGAAAGATCTTTGAGACATGACACAGAAAGCAGCAACGGGACACAGGACTTCATCCTGCTCCCACTACAAATGGCAGCAATATTCCCAAAACAGTCTCAATGTGGCAATGGAAAAAACAAGGAGGACTTGGTCAAAAACGACACTAAGACTTATAACCAGGGAAGACAGCAAGGACTGAAGAGTTGGCAATGGAGACTAGGAGGAGAAGATGGGGGGAAGTCAGGATGAAATATCCAGGGGCCAGCATCTCTGGAGTAAATCGTTATTATCCATAGGATTTCAGTAGAGCAATACTGAATTACATCAGCTACAAGTCTGTCCTGGGAAGCTGGGGATTAACCCTGAATTAGCAGCAGTACATTCTACAGAAAAATGCCCAAACAGAAGCTCACAGTACAAAACTGGGTATATAGGGAGAAGTTAGGGACAGAGAGGTATATTTCAAAAGGAGCCACAAAATTGATGTGTAGCTGAAAGCAGGGGAACAAATGAAGTCTGCACGAAGGAGAGGGTCCAGGGCCAGGAGAGACATCAAAAGAGTGAAGACAAGTCTATATAACTTGCACTACCATGCAGAGATGCCCCAGTTAGCTCTAACCGGGCCAGCTCAGATTCCAGGAGCAGTCTAGCTGTGCTAGTGGCATATGAATACCCAAAACAGGTAATACCATTGTGTAGTGCCACATACATATCCACAGGGAGCTGAGGAGCCACTGAACCAAAGCAACCTGGTAGAACAGAGAGTGGCATAAAGCAGTAGCGCTCTATCCTTTTCCCTGCAGGCCAGAAGAGTGTTGCACAGTTGGTCCATGGGTCGGATTGGGCCCTGCATGCCAGGATCTAGTCTATACTGCCTCTGCAGGGCCTGCATGCTTGGATCAGGCCTGGGGCTCCACAGACTCTGCCAATCCTGGCAGATCAAGATTGGGTTCTGGGTCCTGCACCCCCCTACCCCCAGGCTTGTGCAGCTGGATCAGGTCTGCACTGCCCCCACCTAGCCCTGCATGCTGGGATCAGGCCTTGGGGCCACCTGCTGCCCTCACCCAACCCCATGCCAGGATTGGGCCCTGCACTGCCCTGTGCACCTGATCCAGCACATATGGCCACACTGTATGGCCCGTGGGGCTCCCCAGAGGTTGGGAAATTTGGCAGCAGAGAAGTGGTGCCACCACTCTCCCCCCACCAAATGTTCAGACCCATGGGGAGCACTGCAGGACAAATGACACAATGCTGGGGGCTGGATCTGGCTTGTGGGCTGGGCACCCCTGGCCTATAGTACTAAAAGCAGCTGACAAATCACAATGGGGAGGTCATTAGTGACCTTGGCTGAGATGGGTTCAGTGAAAAAGAAGGCCACATTAGGAACATCCTTTTCATCTCTTGTAGACTCCTACCCAGGAAAACAAGGGGATGAAGGACTAGTTTCTTCAATACTGCAATCAGAAAGGATGTCAAGCCATGATGTGATCCACAAAGACCTTCCCAAACTTCATCTTCTGAGAATGACAATATTTCTGCACCAAAAGTGTAGCACAGGTCTGATCCTTGGCAATGCCTGACCTAAACAGGCAGGGCGAGAGAAAAGGCTCAGAATCTAACAGAAATGTACTGATTGCATTTCCTTACTTAAAGGACTTGAAGAAAGGTGAATTTGAACTGGGAATTGTGCAGCAGCCAAATCTACTGCCATCATGTCCATGGTAACTGGAAAGTATGACTTCCATGGAAACCTGAAATGGGCTAGGCCAAAACAGACCATTGGTTCAGGTAGTCTGAAATCCTCCAATCACAGCCCATAACTAATTATTTCGATCAGCTCTGCAAAAGTCTGCCACCCTACACACCTGACATAACTTTACCACTAATAAAATTAGCTTTTCCATCAACAGCAGCCATCAAAGGGAAGAATAAACATATAGATTTTTATGGCAGGCCTGGTTAATTTTCACAGCAGTTTTGCCAGCTTGCCACAGAGGGAGGTAGAAAGCTTAAACAAACTATAAGGCAAACTATAGTCACCTGTGTGATACCATACATGCCTGGCTCACCACACAGTCCTCGTGATATCCCTGCATTATCAGTTAATGCCTGGATGCATGGGATTTCATTGTTATCTTAGCCTGAACATACTTCAAGTATTGTTGTTATAGGTACTTTACACTTTCCCAAATAAAACTGTATTTGCCACTGTACAGCTCAATATCGCCAGCAGGATTTTTTTCTCCATTTTTTCTAATCGAGTTCTTTCTTTGCATAATCTGAAAAATTAAGTCAATTCACTATTAATTTCCTTTCCAAATCATCTATTAATATATTCAACAGCACCTGGTCCTGGGCTACAAATCTATTAACTTTTCCACAATCCAAGAGGTTTTTTTTTTCATAGTGGCTGTATTTCCTATCAAGATTTTCTCATTTCCCCTCCCTGCCCTTAATTCATGGCTATTTATTTTTCTTAATAAACAGTCCGGAAAAAAGGACTGTCTACATTTATTGAAAATATTTGTAAATCTTAGGTCAGAAATGAGTTTTCTGGAGGAATTTGAAGGAAGAGGGAGGAGAGGAGAAGAGGAAAAACGACTGTTAGAAGAATCACTCTGCCCTCTTCTTCTATTAGCTTTTTTCAGAGCTCTGACATGTCACAATGCTCTGATTGCACTAAGCTACAGTTTCCCAAATACAGCTCAGCACTTTCCTTAAATTAACCTTTTGCTATTAACCCTAGCACTGAGCTATGCTGCAACAGTCTATAATTCACAGCACCCTTTTCAGCACCTCTAATGTAAAACGAGTAGGTAAAATGGATCCAAGACAATCCAAATATTAGCAAGGGCCATGAATATCTTTCTGTGACTCAGGACCCATGTTAGGAAATATCTGGTTTTGAGAATTTTCAAATACGTCAGACATATCTCTATTGCTTTTTACTTTTTCCTGTTTGGAGCCTGGACCTGAATATAATCTAGGCTTGAATTAGGCCTCAGTTCAGCAGAGTGTTAGACCACGGACTTCATTTTAAACACGCACTTTTTCCTGTCGAAGTCCTAGGGACTATTTTAATGGTTAAAGCCCAAGGTCCAAGTGCTTTAGCAGAGCAGGGCCTTATGGCTTGATCCAGAATCCCACTTAAGTCAATAGGAGCCTTTCTATGGACCTTACTGTATTTTGGATTGAGCCCTTACTGCAGTAGCAAATCAAGGGGTAGGCCACCATGGAGCCCTGGATGCTGACCATGGAGTAAAGGTGGGGGCAGAATAGAGACAGGGGGGACACTGAAGTGATGGTCAGAGGCTGGGCTCAGCATTCACTGGTTAACCCAGCAGCTGTTAGTTCCAGCTGGGCAGACCAGAAGCAGGATTCCCCTTGCACCAACTGTTACTGTGTTAACCATTTCACAGCCACTGCCAAAATAAGGCTTTTACAGCCATGATCAATATCAGGTAAGATTCTGCTGAACCCTATACCCCCACTCTCCTGTGCTCAGCACAACTCCCTCCCCACCCCTCACTCTCTGCAGTTTCTCGACTTTCTCCCACACCTTCCTCCTGAAATAAATTTGAAGTCCCAAGAAGACAACACAGTGGATTCCAATGGAACATGACAACAATGTCTCTGTTGCCCTCTGCACCAACAACATAATATATATAAATTCATTTAACTTCTTTGCTACTGCACCATCCATTTTCTTTACATGTCTTGTTACAGCCTGGTGCTTCTACTTGCTGTCATTTGTCATGTTCACTTGCGGTGTCTCATCCTCAATGCTCACCACATTGTTGGGGTCTCCCACTAGTCTCATGTCTGAGCTGAGCAAGTAGGCAAATATCCTCCCTGATGGCAAAATTAAAAAGAGGCTACTGAAGTATTCCTGTCTCTGTGCAGTAACAATCACATGAATGCATTGCATTTCCCAAAGGAAGCCAAGTCTGTATGGCACTGGCATGGTCACCTTTTCTCAAGCCTAAGCATACAGCACAGCAGTTCTGCATACTGCTGCTGTCAGGTTACAAGAACGGGTCTGACAAGAGGTATAAAGGGCTTCACTCTGTGGAGAAGTCTTACAGGATTTAACAGAGGGTGGTGAGCTGTCTGTGAACTTTAATTCTAACCTATAGATACAACTCTCCAATATTACTATAGGTTTAAAAAAAACAAGCCTAAAGAATCCTAATTACTTCAATCCTACCAAAATCATATGATATGTCCGAAAGGGGGACTCGGAGTGAGGAATTTTGCTTTGTCTATATTGGAGGGGGGTCTGTCCACAAACTCACCAAGCCCATGGGACTGCAGATATTGAATTCAACCTCACCTGGTAAATCATCTTCATCTTCACTGAACACATTGGGATTGAAGACAGGCAGGTTAATGTAGTCCATAGATATTTTCCGTACTTCTGGGAGATAAATAGTCATCTGCCTGGGCTGGAGGTGCAGTAAGCTGGTTTTATAAATAACTAGGCAAGAGTAAAACAGGAAAAATAATATTACATAGAGGGAGGCAACAAGAAGAGCAAATAAAAGGGAGTCCATAAAAAAAACAAAGGGGGAAATATAATTGCTTTTATGTGACATTACTGTAAAATAAATACATGTATGGTCTATTCTTGATTAGGCCACCATGCAATGCATGGCAGCAGAAACAGTTTAGAAGCAGGTCCTTACTACCTGGAGGCCATCTGGGATTCTTTTCTTTAGTTACTCATCCTTAACCAGAAGCTGCAGCACTGCTACATGCTGTATAGAGCAGTGTTTCCCAGACTTCTGATCCCTGGAGAACAGTTTTATTCTGGATTAAAATTGGTGGGACACTTCACTCTGACACCTGAAAAGGTGTGTGTGTGTGTATGAACATATGTATATATGTGAAAATATACCTACATCCGTAGATATAAGACTGACAGATAGACATAGATATATTCAAAACATTTGAATATATTGAATACTCCATTCTCCTGCCAAAGAAAATCACACCAGTGCTGAGATACACTGTTCATGAGAAGGAAGAAAGGAAGAAGGAGGGGGGAGAGACAGAGAGAGAGCTGTGCCCTGCTCTTTCCACGCTCTGCCCCTTCCAACTCCTGGTCTGTATCTCAGGGGGCAAGGGCAGCCCCCACTGCTGACGCTGTTCCTGCAGGGTTTCACATGTTGGTGACCACCCCTGTGCCCCCTCCTGCTGGCCTAAGAGTGTGGGAGGAGTGGAGGGGACAAGCCAGGCTGCAAAGTGCGGCTCCCTGCATCTTCCCACCTGCTTGCAGCAAAGAGTGCTGCTGGAACATGGGGGGGGGGCAGCACAAGCGCTGCCTGGGGCGTAGGGAAGGGCAGGGGAAGGCAGCTACAGGTGCCACTGGAGTTGCTGGGGCAAGTTCAGGGTGCCAGACAGGGGAGGAGAACATTTACCTCCTCACACAGGGGGACGTAGTGGCAAACCTCCATCACTCTCGTGGCACGCTAGTGTGCCACAGCACACTCTTTGGGAAACCTTGGTACAGACATTCAAATTTACAGACACAAATTCCTGAATTTCAATACAGGGGCCCTTTAATATTTTTGATGGAAGGAAAAGGATCCTATTAACCTCCCTTCAACGTTATTTTTTTGTCCTTAGCTTTTCCCCACCTCTTCATTTGTTTAAAAAAAAACAAAGCTGTGAGGATCAATCACTGCAAAATACGGGTGTCATAAAAAACCCTTTATGTCTGTTTTGGGGTGGAATGGAGCTTTAAAAATAAAAAGAGTGATAACAGGATAAAACATTTCTCAAAACTGAATAACAGTGATAGTTAGTCAGGAGCTACCGGGATTGCTACTGCTGAAAAACAAAAGATGCTTTATCCAAGGAACTCTCAGAGGAGGTCTGTGGCATTCCACTGGCCATGCTGTCTCAGCACATGTGATCAGGCACTGCATTAATGTCTGGGAGTCCAATCCTGAATCCCCCCAAAGTAAATGAAGAATGCTCAGTAGGTGCCTGATTAAGCCCAGATGAATCAAACTGACAGCTTGTTTAGAGTTCAGTTAATTTCCCTGTGAGAAAAGATCAAGTCCTGGAAGTGAAGTTGCCATCTCTTGGCATAAGTCCCAATGACTGCTTTGCCCTTTTGATGCTCTCGGGTCAAACTGCCTGCACTGTCATGGGGTGGGAAAATTTCCACTTCTCTGGCACCAGCAGAAGTCAAACCCTGCATTAAATATGTTACTTCAAGACTCCAGTTCAAGGCAGCAGTGATTTGCAAAAGAAGTACCTGTTTCAAACACATGAGAGAGCTGATGGCAATGACTCCTATTTCAGGAATAAATATCCACACCGGTCAGGTTTTCAGAAACAGATTAAAGAAAAATTCCAGGGATGCCACTCCAGAGAACTACTCCAAATAGTGTTTAACAAGTGACAGAGGTGGTGCTAAACCCAAACTCCAAATGTTTATGAACTCTGGGAAAGCTCTGATTTGGATCCAGATCAAAACATCATTACTTGGCCCTATCTCTACTAAATAAGCATGTATAATAAGGGGGGGTGGGAAGAGATATTCAAAGGAGTGGCTAGCAATTCCTATCCTTGTGTAAGTGTTTTCATTCAGAGATCAGTTCCTGCCACCCTCACTCTTACTGGGTGCATCTACAAGTTACATTAATTTGACTGAATAAACTTCTGCACAGTTTGCACTAGAGTTTATTACTCCTGGATACTGTGTTTACATATGCACCTGGGACTGCAACATGTTGAGCTGGGTCTGAGTGGCCTCAGCTGGCAGGGAGCCTGGGGGTCAGACTGCCAGCCCAGGGCTGCTTCGATCTGGCTCAACATGCTACAGAGGGGCTGGCTGGAACACAAGCATACTCCAGGGTGGGGCTAACTGGCACCTGACACTTTACTGAGGAGCTAACTAGGCAACTTTGCAGTAAATGCCTCATGTAGAAGCACTCACTGAGGAGTGCCTCACTTTTTGCCTAGACCCAGTGACTGCCACAAGACTACACATGGGAAGAGGATGATTCAATTAGAAGATGAGAGCAGGGCCCCAGTGCTGCTGTCTTTCAGTGGTGGCTACTATTTTCCTGACATACTATCAGAAGTTATGCAATGATGCAAAAAATTCATGCAATGAACCTTGGAAAAGCTACTGGAAGGTAAGTTTTTTCAAGTAATTTTGATATAAGCAGTAGTTAAAAATATATTACAGCCCCTAGCTTACAACAACTTACAGGGAAACTCTCCTGTTTCCCAAAGTTTTCTTACTAGAAAATCTATTTTGTCATTCCTATTTCTGATAATCAAAGTACTCAAAGGGCAGATTCCAGCTTGATTGCAATTTACCTTTTTTACCAAAACTAAGATTCAACATTTTTTCTTGATTTGCTCCTGTTATTCCATCTAGAGATGTGAATCTCATCTATTTCCACTGAAAGTTTCACATAACCTAATTCTTACCCTCCAGGGAGAAAAACAGCATTGCTCAAAGACATCTGTACACCACCTTAGTGAAAATTATATTTTTGTTACTTGTTAGCAAGAGTTTGAAACTGAAAATAATCAATCAGGTTCATTTTTACCTGCACCCAAGTTAGTTGGTAGAAAAGCAGCCAAACCCACAATTTTAAATTTGGTTCCCCAGATATTAGATGTAACCTGAGCAAGGTAGTTGTGCTGGAAAAAGAAAAAGAAAAAACACAATTAAACTTTTCAAACTTTATTCATGCCTTCAAAATCTTCACAAGTAAATAGCCCTTTAAAAACATACAAATCTAGTGTTGTTTTGTGCAAACTCTAATGCATGTGACTCACTGACAGATAATGCTATTTGATTGCCTACAGGCTTATAAAAACTCTTTGAGTATTAATACTATTACAAATGATAAAGCAAATCCATCTCATTCTCTGATTCTCTAAACATCAATTAGTACATATTTTCAAAAAGGACTGGGATTTGTCCCAGTCTCATTTTGTGTTCTGGGCATTGTCACTTGCAGAAATTATATACATGGCAACCAAACAGGTCATTCAATGGAAAGCTGGCGGGGGGGGAAACAGGAGCTTGCCAGTAAAAGCAAGACTGTTCTGATACTTGTTTCTCCAACACAAGAGTATAGCACAGCTTTCCTGTATGTTTGCACTAATAAATTTGAAGGGAGCTTCTCATTTTCTCATTGCATTGTAAGGATCACGTATCGAACAACAAATGAAAGAGAAAGGAATTATTACTGATAGCCAGCATTTATACAGCACAAACACTTTCCCAAAGTGTATACCATTGCTTTACAGATGGATAAACTAACGCTCTGAGAAGTGAAGTGATTTGCCCAAGGTCTGAAAGAGTAAATGAGTCAAGAGCAGAGTCCAAGTCTCTGCTCTTACTGCCTTATTCATTGAACTTCTGCCATAACTTCTGCACAAGCATCAAAAGTGCCAGGCTCCCTGTCCGGTATTTCAAATACAACCTGCTGGCTGGGAGGGAGGGAGGGTAAGAGGTGGGGCTAGGAGAGCGAGGGAGGAAAGGAGAAGGTTGGGAGAAAAAAATAGTTCTGTTTCCCAACCCAGTAATTCTTTCACCTCTGCAGACTGACTACAAGGCAGCTGCTGTAGTGGTATCAACACACAGCCCTAAGGGACTGAACAGGAACCAGAAACTGATTTCACAGAGGCCTTCAAGCAGACAAAAATGTATCAATTGAAATAAAAATGTCTGCTGCAGGTTCTCCTAAGATAAAGTAGTTGCTTTTGAAAAGTCAGGATGAAATCCCTCACTGAATTCAAAGGGGCCTGAATTTCAGCTTTACTACCCATTATCATATAGTGGCATTTGAGGTTCTACAGGGGATTCCTATTATAAGTGCAGGCAAGTAACTAGAATCTTGATCCCACTGGGCATGTCTACACGTTCATTAAGGCGCAGTGGTTACTTGTATAAACAAGTACTAAATAAATGTGCAGTGACCAGAGTTACTGCACAGTACTGCTGGCAAATGCCTTTTCAGTGATGCCACTGTGCAGTAACCTAATAATACTGCACAGTAGCATATTAGCACTGTCCGTGCCGTGACGTGCTACTGCAAAGTGTTATTAGACTACTGCACAGTTAGCATATCATGTAGTTGCGTCCACTGTGTAGCAACCATCATTAGATGGCGGGTATTTTATAGCAATCTCTGGAGATTTATCACTGATAGCTGCCTTTGGAAAGAAAATACATATTTGGATGCAAGCATGACTACATCATTACTAGACAATACCTGAGTGATATCTTCCAATGGAAACTCTCTTCGAGTTAGGCTTGGTGAACCAATAGAAGGTTTCCTTATCGGTAATCTTGGAGACCTTGATATCTCCTGAGCAGCTCGTGACATTTTTGGAGATTTGCGGGCTTCTATATTAATTCTGTATGGAAAGCAATAATCAGAATGATTCAGCAAGCACGGATGGGCACACTTAATGTCTTCATGTATACAGAGGACAGTGAAAGTAACTGGCATGCTCTGTTCAAGTGATGAAACCAACAGATGGACAATGGTTTGATTGTCCACCATCTGTTTAGCCTAAAGCGGAGCTGTCCAACTGGCAGCCCACAAGGAATTAATTTTCAGCCCACAGGTTCCCACCTGGCCACCACTTCCCTCATCCCTCCAGTTGCAGTAGCTCCCTCATTCCTCCAACTTCTGCTTCCTGCCCCTGCTCCAGAGCTGAGGTGTTCACACAGTGCAGTTCAGCAAGGAGGCACCCAGTCTGGCGCAGTGCAGGAAGGGAGTCGATGGGTACAAGGGCTCCATGGCTCACCCTGGTGCTGTCTGTGTGGTGGAAGTAAAAGCTGGAGAGTCCTGGCCTAAGGATAGCATTCTATTGGCCAAATTTAAAGGTGACATGTAAAGAGATGCGAGTCAGACTTTCTGATTTTAACTCAGACTCTGCCCTCCTTAGGACTGCTTAGCATTGTGAAGAGGGAGGTGTAACACAGCAAAAGTTGTGCTCTGGTACTCAAAGGGGCATCGGCAAGCAACAGAGCGGCTTGCAGGTGGCTGCACTCCCAATCAGGCACAACTGCCTGGTTGGGAACAGGGCCCAGATGTTTGTGATAAAAGCAGGCCCTGAGCAGTGGAGCCAGCAGTTTGCTGCTAGCAGTCAAGGGGAGAACATCACCTGTGTGGAGCTGCTGCTCACGTAACATCATGGAGGTAAAGGGCAGGAACTATGGGGATGGTGGAGGCTCCTGGTCCTGAGGTATGACCTAAAACTACACCCTGCTGGGGCTGGATGGTGTGGTGGGACTGCCGGTGGTGGGGCAGTCCTCAGGAAATACCACACCTGTGCCTCCCCAGTGAAGGACGAGTACAGGGTGCCAGAAAGCCTCAGCCCCCACTGCCTTGTGGGTTACCCCATGGAGAGAAAAGGCTAGGACACCACATCCCAAAGACAAAGCAAAGGGCCCAGGTTTACAGGATGGAGCCTGAGGCAGGACAGTGGTCATGTGAAGGGGCCAGAGACGGGGCCCAGGTCCACAGAGAGGCTGGAGGTTCATAAAGGGAGCTGCGTGTGAGGCTCCAAGGGGGGTGGGATCCTGAGGCCAAGAAGGAGGTGTGAAGCCCCAGGGGCAAAGGGATTAATGCCCAGTGTTGGGCAGGGGATTGAGTCCCAGCATTAGGTGTATGTGGATCAAGAGGATCCAAAGCTGCGTAGGGAGCCTGAGGCAAAGAGGGCACTGGGAGCCCTGAGTGGGGGTGAAAACAGCCCAGTGCAAGGACACAGGAAATGAGAGTCCCAACGTGAGGGCACAGAGATTGAAAGCTCCAGTGGTGAGGGCACAGCAGTGAAAGTCCCGAAGTGAGGCACTGGAGAGAGGTTCCCAGTGTGAGGGCATGGGAATGAGAACACTAGTGTTGGGGCACTGGATCATAGGCCAGGTGTTAGGCCATTAATATCATCTGCAAGGCATGGGACACATTATAAGGGGAGGTTCGGAGCCATGTATACACCCTTGGCATCACGGCAAGTAAACAGGCAGCCGCCCACCTTGTTTTCAACATCAGATGGTCTTCATCAAAGGTGTGGCAGGTGAGGCAGATGGGCAGGCTGCCCTGAAACAAGTGGGCAGGCCCATGACTCAACCAGCCCCAGGATACACACTTGTTACAGGAGGTGATATAACTTACATGTCACAGAGTCATGAAAAGAGCATGGTACCAGGCATACTTTGAGCAAAGTTTATGAGAAAGCCAAGATTACATTTTGGCTGCTAGATATGGGTCCCTATGCCATTAATGAAAGCCAAGCTTCACAAATTTAGCCAGCTCTCCTCTTCTGAGGAAAACGTTATTTATGCTTTCTCTAATGTAAATATTTCAAATGGGGCTCCAGGATGCGAGTCGGAAGGGCTGAAAAGGGGCCTTTGCTGGAGAAAAACACATTGCATTTAGGAAGGAAAAAAATCATCTCATCAGCAAAGCAGCCTGATATTTTTCTTTCTTTTTGAGAAACATCTGCTTTGCTGATGTATTTGTTGAATAGTAAGGTTCATAACTCTCCTGTGATTTCAGATGAGAAGCTCCATTTTCTGGGCCTCAAACTACAGCCAGCAGGCCTGCCTGCCTGCTAAGAAGTCATGAGTAAAGCACCAGCCTTTACTGGTAGGTATATGTAATCTGATGCTGACAGCTCAATAGCATCAACAAGACTCTGCATGGGTGTAGCATTCTGTCTGTGCACCTTGGGTTGCAGGCTCACGCTTTGGGTTTGAGGAGTCAGGTGCTATTTAACGGTGAAGAGCAAAATGAAAAGGAAAATGCAGAAATTCAGAAGGGCAAGGGCTAGACTTCATATCAGTCCACAAGCAACAGCATTAGAAAAGACAGCTTTGTGTGCATAGAAAACCTCTTCATTCTAGCTATGGCTGGCAACATTTGCAAAGCACCTAGCATAATGGGGCCCTGCATCGTACTCATGGCCCCTAGATGCTACTGCAAAACAAGCAATAATCAACACACACGGCTGGATTTGATGTCATTTTCATTTTCCCCCACAGACTTCACCATTAAGCATGGATGGATGCGAGTGCTGAAGGTAACAATTGCCTGCTGCTTAAACCATGTGACTGACCGCCTTTACCATTATTTTACCAACCAATAAGACATGAAAATGCAATGACAGGAGATTTTAAATATGACATTTTCATTATATAGCCACCCAAAAATGTATATGTAGCAGGTGCTGGTAGAGACTTTGTCCACACAGTTCTACATCAAAAAATTGTGAGGGGTGGGTGGGTGTGTGTGTGTGGCATGGGGGGAAAAGGAGAGGGGAGGAAAAGGAACAGAATAGAATGAAGAATGGATTGAAAATGCTGTAGAATATTCCTTTGCTATCATGGACACACCACATGCCCTAGACTTTTTCCTGGCTTGATGAACTATCTGCAAGAGGCAGACTGAGGCTGGGGAGTTTGCTTACATTATTATTGCAGCTAACCATAGAGGATGATTTTAGGGGCTTGATAAGGTCTGCAATGCTCTTTCAGGGAGAAAAAAAAAGACTGAGAAGCTGTAATTTCCACAGGCAGATTCTTGCCTATGAAAGGTGTAAGAACATCACCTTCTGTTTTAATTATATGAGGCATCAAGACAGTACTAAAAAAAAAGGACCTAGAAAAAAGAAGGAAGATAAAACAGCCAAGAAGGGATTACCTGGGGAGTTTGGGTGACTTGCTAGCTCGACTGATTTTGGGAGATTTCTTTGCAGCCCAGTCATCACTCAATTCAATATCGCTGGAGTCTGAGCAGTTGCAGCTGTCAATCACAGTGGAAATCAAGCTGTTTCCATAGATTTCATCTACCAAGACAGGTCCCAAAAAATGTAAGAACCATTTCAGAAACCTGATCCCAATTTCAACTGTCAGTCATCTGAGACATAAACCTGATCCACAGGCAGAGCTAAGATAAAATGGTAGCAGGGAAAATTGGCTCTTTTTCAAAATGCCCAATATAACCTCAGAATTTCAGATGGCCCACATTCAAGTGAACAATGCTCAGTTGTTCAAGGTGATTCGCAGACAGAGACTGAAAAATATCTCCTGTTAACTAGTAACTGATCCATAGGCTAATGGAGCTTAGCCCCCACCCTGCCCCCAAACTCGGGGCAGCAGTAGGGCTGCAAGGCAGCCCAGACTTCCGGCGGCTGCAGCAGGAGTGGGGAGCGAGTGGGAGTGGGGCTGGGGCTACACAGCTGGGCGGGACACAAGACATGGGTTGGAGACGTAAGTGGATTGTCTGTGGGTGTGGCTCCTGCTGCTACATGCACCCCAGGAGGCATGGGGGACATGTGCCCCCAGCTCTGTGCTGGGGGAGGCAGGCTGCCACTGTGGGCTGGGGCCGGGGCTATGCCAGGCTCTTCCTGGCGGAGGGGGGCAGGGAAGAGGGGAGGGCTGGGCTGGGTTGCACTCGGGGCAGGCAGGGGTGGTACTGGAAACAGGAAGGGGGGCGCTGCAGCCACCCCAAAATTTGCCGTAGCCCCCCAGACCCCCCTCCCAGCACTGCTACTGCCCACCATGAGCACAGTGAGGTCCAACCCCTGGTCTAGCCCAGTGCAGCCCCAGCCTAAGCCCACAGCAGCAGCTCATATCCCTCTACACAAATCCAGGAGCACATGCCCCCCATGCCCTCCCAGGGTGCACGCTGTGGTGGGAGCCACCACCCTCTCTGTGTGCCAGGCGCCCCCCTGGACAAGCCACTTGTGGCTGTTCCACCCCTAAAATCTTTTCCCCTCTGCCTATGAACTGATCCCTCCCAAATCAGGATTCAAGAACTTGTATTTTGTAAACCAGAAGCCAATATGATTAGAGTCTGATGACTGGCGCGTTAAGGATGGAAACAGACATCACCCTGACATCCCATTTGTGCCGTCATGACATTTTTTATGATGGCACAAACACTGAGCAAACAGACCCTGATATCCTTTGTTGCACCACACGAAAGGAAAATCAGTGGCACAACAAAAGGTGGGTACAGATTCCCCCCATGCTTTATTGCGGTGGACATCTATTACCACTGTGGCATTTTTCCCCACTCAGCCAGAACCATGGGTTTGGCTGGGCAGTGGAAAACCCCACTATCCCTGCTCAGCCAGACCTAATTAAGAGACTGCTGCTTGCTGCAGAAAAGCACTGCAGTTGCTACCCATCAAGCAGTTCTATGGGTAAACAGGATTTCAGTCTCTGGAACTTGCAAGCTAGAACTTTCCTAAACACTTATAAAACTGTCCCACCTGCTTTTCCGTCCATCTTAGGATCCATGATGACAAATTCTGGTCGCAGTTTGCTGATCCGGCGCCCTTTTAAGATTGGCACCAATCCCCCTAGGTATTCCAAGTACAGTGTATAGCATGGACCTCCGACCTCAGGATCATCCTCTGTCCGCTTCATGGTGCAGTGCAGCCGCTCATTGCCAGCTGTTGGGTAGCTGACAAAATCTCTCATGTTGTTGGGGTCTGGGATTGGAGGCTTAAGTGAACAGAAAAGAGTAAGAGAAAGTTACTTTTGTGTTATTCTTTGTCCTTGAGCTCAGCAATACCACCCTTATTAAGTGGGGTCTACAGATTAGAGTCCTGCATTGGGTCAGGTATCCATGGGTGACCCGCAAAGTGAGCTGGGTTCAGGTGGGAATATGAACTACTTCACATTTTGCAGTTCAGGTACGGGTCTGAAAAAAAATGCTTCAGGTTAGCTTCAGGTAGGAATGTAAGCCTCACCAATGGCTGCTGAAAGATGTAAAAAAATAAAAAGCACTTCACCAGAAGAAGCAGCACAAAGGACATCAAACAAAGAAGAAAGAATGTCTGCAAAGGAGAGCAAAGAAAAGAGAGGTCACACCCTGATCACCTGTCTTGGCAGGAGGTGGCCAGTGGTGTCCTGCAGGGTTCAGTTCTTGGTCCTGTGCTGTTCAACATCTGTATCAACAATTTAGACGAGGATGTGGAAAGCACACTGGACAAGTCTGCAGACGATACTAAGTTATGGGGAAAAGCTGTCACACTAGGGAATAGGTTGTGGATCCAATTGGACCTGGACAAGCTGGAAAGGTGGGCGGACTGGAACTGGATGCAGCTCAATAAGGATAAATGCAGAGTGCTTCATCTGGGGAGAAGTAACTAGCAACATGAATATAGGTTAGAAGGAGATGTCCTGGTCAGCATGACAGCTGAAAAGGACCTCAGGGATATGGCTGAATACAGGATGAACATGAGCCACCAGTCTGATGCTGTAGCCAACAGTTAATAACATACTGGGATGCATTAGTCAATGTGTTGTGAGCAGGGCTAAGGAAGTGATACTTCCTCTCTACTCGGTGTTGGTGAGACCCCAGCTGGAGTACTGTGTCCAGTTCTGGGCAACGCACTTCAAAAAAGACATGAAAGGGTCCAGAGAAGGGCCACAAGAATGATTAAGGGCCTGGAAGAAAGACTAAGGGATCTGGGACTGTTCAACCCGTGGGAGAGAAGACTGAGGGAGGACGTGGTGGCCATCTATAAGTATGTAAGGGATGAATATTGGAAGCTTGGAGAAAAACTATTCACTAGGGTGCCCCAGAGGAGGACAAGGAGCAATAACCATAAACTGTTAAAGGATGGTTTCAGGTTAGATATAACGAGGAACTTCTTTACGGTAAGGGTAACCAGTATCTGGAATCCCTAACTTTGGAAGTCTTCAAGAGGAGACTAGACAGACACCTAGCTGGGATCATTTAATCTAAGCAGTATTCCTGCCCAGAGCAGGGTGTTGGACTCAATGATATTTCAAAGTCCCTTCCAGCTCTTAATTTCTATGACTCTACGACTCTATGATATTTTCTTTGATCTCCTTAGCAGCCATTTTGAACACTAACTCACTGCTTCTTCCAGTAAAGCACATTTTTTTCTTCACATTTGTCAGCAGCTTTCCTGGAATTGAATGAGCTTTAGAGCACCAAAAAGCCCCACCAAAATGCCCAATCTATACAGACACTACTGAGCCAGTTTGAACTAACGTGCTGCTGCTACCAGGAAAGTGCAGGGTTTTTTTTTCATGTTTGTCAGCAGCACAGGTCAGGTTGTGAGTTTGTCTACAGCAGGATGGGTTGGTCCATGAGTAAAAAGACTTGCTAATGTGGGTTTGGTTGTATATATCAAGTGCAGGTTCCAAAAGTGGGCCTTTAAAGTCAGACCCACACAGGAGTCTACAACATATCAGCAGTAGCCTAAACTAATCTGAGAACCACCTAGTTACACAGCAGTGAGAGAGACGTACCTGCTGGATGGCTCAAAACCTGTATACAGAAAATAAAAATTAAGTAAATGATAAGCAGAAGCATGGTCTTCTAGTTAGGGTACTGGTTTGGGGCCCAGGAAATCTGAGTTTAATGCCCAGCTCTGCCATAGTTTCCTATGGGACTGTGGACAGGCAACATAAGTCCATTCTACACATTATATATATTACTCAATTAACTGGTTAATTGTGCAATAAATTTAGGCCAAACATGTGCACAAAAATTATCATACTGACTATGCAGCTATAAAAAGAGCCAGCCTGCTACAAAGTTTGTGCCTGAAAAGGTGCAATGACTCTACAGCTGGTTTCTATCCAACTTTAATTTTAATGTGTAGAAGGGCCCTCAGGCCTTTGCCCTGTTAGATCCTGCAGCTCCTTTCATCATTTGTAAAAATGGGATATAGTAATCCTTCTGTCATCTGCTTCATCTCTATAGATTATGAGCTTTTCTTGGGACAGCGAGTCTGATAGTGAGGTTGTGCAATGCCCAGCACTGAGGGGCCAGTGGATGGTTCTGTATCACCAAAATGCTGCTTCTGGTATTACTGTTATTATTATTACTGATAAATTGCCACACCTTAGTTTATTCCAAAACAAATATAAAAGGGAATAAGAGCTGGCGAACAAAAGAGAGAGAGTAAAGCTGGTCCTGGTGAATAGTGAGCTTTTCTATACTATAGTACATACCTTTAGAATTACAGCTACAGTATGTCATTTACTCTTTCCAAAGGTACCAGTTATAATATAACCCTGTGTTTTAGAGACTAACTCATTCCAGAAATATTTATGCACACAAATTACTAAACTAGCAATACACAGAATGCTTTCTCATAAACAAACCAAAGCATGATTCACCATGTGGCAATAATGGGTCATTATATAATGGATACAGTTTGCTCTCACTTAAAACAGTGTATGGTTGGATAGATTCCACTGGCTTCAAAGCACCTACTCCGGACTGACACTGCTTTACCCGGAAGTTGAATTTGTCCCAATAAAACGAAATGGTAATAAGCACCAGCACTACATAAAATGATCAGATGCATCTAAGCACTTTATTTGCTAAGACCTCAGTTCTGGGATGGTATAAACAGTTCTGGGATCCACAGGTGTAGCTGAGGGCATGATTAGAAGACACAGGGATGGAGCAGATGGCCCTGCAATTAGCACTTGGTAAGCAATTCTGTTGATGATATGCAAAAAAGAAAAATATTCAGCTCATTTTCTCTTAGCTGTGTTGGCTCAGCAGGGCTAATGGGGCTAAGTGGCAATAAAATATTGTTTCTGTCAGTAATTTCAAGGCAGACAACTCTGGTAAGTACAGATATTTGGGGCTGCCTATGTATAAGCATCCTGACATATAGCAGGGAGATAAGAGTTCCATTGTCTGTGCAGCTCCAATACAACCAATGTTAGACCAATTTTACCATCACAATGGGGTGGGTCTTCAGAAATCTGCTGTGAGTGGCAGGCACCGTGAACTCACAGGTTTTTGCGTGACAGATCAACCATAAAGGAGACCTCACGGTTACAATATTCTAAGCCTTATTTTGTGTGCTGAAGCAGTGTAAACAAGTCCTTTTTATTTTTCATCTTCAGTCTCTCTCCTTTTTCAGGTCCTCTTTTCTCACTGGGAACTACTGGGTTGAATTCTGGCTCCCTGATGTCAATTGGAGCTCTTTCATTGACTTCAGTGGGGCCAGGATGCTCCCCCTTATCTCTTGGGAACACCAGAGTGAAGAATGAAAAAAAGGCTCCGATCCCTTTTACCTTGATTGTTGGTGTGAAGGCAGTGGTGAGGTATGAACAGAGCCGAGGAGGCAAGGTCAGTTTGCTGATATCTTTGTCATCTCGCAGGCAGCTTGCAATGGTCTGCTGGCACAGAAGCTGCAAACTGGAGACCCTGTGCTCTACTCGAACCACGTACAGTGCAGGGCCGGAAGCCATGAGCAGGCGCGAGTCCCTGTGGCCCCAACAAATCGAGATAATGGGACGCTGTAAGGAAAGGAAGATTGCACAACTTAGCACAGCATAAGCTTTCTCCTGGACATTCGTGCAGCAAGATGTTCAACAGCAACATTTGAATCCAGTGCCAAGGTTATCCAAAAGGTAAAAATAAGAGTAGCTTTGCGCTGAGTTACTGTCACTGGCAGAAGGTGTGATTAGCCCTTTGCTGTTTCTGCCTCCCAGTCCCAAACTGACCACTCCCATAATGCCCTATTACAAAGTATTTCCAGATGAAAAAAAAATCTAAATCACCATCATGGACAGGCTATACATACTGCCATTTCTTCATCTTTTTGTTCAGTGATATAAATGTCCAAATTCATACCAATTAACAGAATAATGGTGAGTAAGAGATGGAACTGGATTAAGGTTTCTGAGAATTAAAAGATATGGCAACAGCTAAATCAGGCCCTCCTTTGTACACTGTAATACAAGGATGTTATTTTGATATTCTTGGCTGTACGTTTGGGCAAATTTAGGACACACACACATTTAAGACAGCCAATGTTGCACCTGATTGTGATATTCTCTGATGCAGGAGTCAAGTAACATAGGTGGATTGAAAAAACAGACTGGTTAGTCTCATAACAACCAGCTTGTAGTGCAGTGTATGCCAAGACAAGGGCAATGTCATGCTTGAGGGCTAGAGTTGATCCCCATGAGTCCAATTTTCCCCAAAAAATCCTTGAAGCTTTGTCCTTCATAGTATGGAAGGGGCTCTCCATACTATCCTCTTTAAATCTTCTCCCTATCATGATGCCTCCAGAAAGCACTTGTGCCATGACCACTGTTTATTGTGCTTTCACAATTATCTCATTGTTAGCTGTGCTCTCCTTAACATCTGTTGTGTCCACCTGTCATCTCGTCTCTGTATGTAAGCTCATGGGGGCTGTCTTTTAATTGTGCATGTGTGTACTGTGTCTAGCACAATGGAATCAACAGCAACAGAGGTGAGAAACAAATTGTCTCCTCTGTGAATAATACTGCACAGCAGACTACCGTGAGCACATTCTAAAAAGGCTTGTTTCTTCTTCTGAAGCATTGGTTACTGGCTACAATCCTATGCCCAATGGATTAGGTCCTGTTCATTAGATGAAGAATGGACACAATTTACTGAAAGGATGGAGATGTGTTAACATGGTCAGTTAGGGACATTTTATCCTTCTAATCAGAATACACCAAACAAGAATTAACCACACAGAAGGCAGGCGTCAACAAAGAAAACCAAGTAATCAGGCTCTTCCTCCCCCCACTTCTGAAGAATGTGAAAGACTACACAACACAGAAACCTGGACTAGATTAGCAAAGATGTTAGTAAGCCTCAGAGACAGACTTTTTTTGAATTGTGACTTCTGAATGTTTCAAGATGAGAAACCAGAGCAAACTGATTTTTATGTGAATGACAGGAAGTGCAGCTGCACAATGCCACCTCAATGCTTATTATCAAGATAAAGGGTAGGATGAAGCAACTTTCTACTGGAGAGAATTTTACCCACTGTGCCATCTCAACCTGATTTTAAATTTCAAGGAAAATACTCGTTTTAAGACAGGGCGGTGGGTGGGTGGGAAGTAGAGCAGTTTCCTTTTCAGTAAATCCAGACACCGCAGACACACATACAATCCCATACCCACACGACACATCCTTGCATGGAGGTACGTACCCTCTGGCTGACTGATACACAAATGCAAAACAACAATATGTGAGCATTATAGTTTTCACAGCAATTGCTAAAGGCTCTTTGCAGTGAAGAATGACACTTCAAAAGGAACCAAAACATCCCTGTGGTATCATGAGCAACCTGCTACATAGCCTGTCATCAACACACTTTCAGGGCAGAGGTTTAGTCAGTTCAAAATTCCATTTAATTTTGGATGCTTAAAAAACCCTTATTCAGTACAGGATGTTCTACAGTATGAGCATGAACCACATTTCAGGGCTCTACTGGCACCTCACACTGGTTAAGAACTGTGAGCTGGTCAGTGCAGCCCACAAAATAAGCAGGGTTGAATGGAGAGGGCACAAGGCAAATGCACCTAAGGGAGATGTTGACTCATCCAGTGAAGCCCTGGGAGAGGGCACCAGTGGATGTGCAAAGGCATACAACCTACTGTAAGTACAGCTAGTACTGTAAATCCAAACTACATCCCTTTGCATAAGTCAGTTGAGTCAATTCATATATATATAAAATGCTTAAATAGTGAAGGCACAACCACAATGAAGGTTTTCAATGATTTTCATAGATTAGATTTCATAGATTAGATTGTTAGGGGCTGGAAGGGACCTTGCAGATCATTGGAGCCAGGCCATGCCCCCTCCCCCGCGCTGCCCTGGGCCATGCCCTCTCTCTTTTGCACAGCTGGACTGGGGCTCTGCCATGTCTGCCCCACACACCAGATCAGGCCCACCAGTTGGATCCAGCCCACAGATGGACCAGGTACTGCCCATCCAGACAGGGCAAAAAGGTTGGGTACCACTGGCTTAGAACATTTTCTTTTGAACATCCAGTGTTCTCTATACCAGGGGTATCAAAGTCACCTGTGTCCTCAGGCAGGATCCAGAAGGCAAGGAGCCTCCCGGGCCAGGTCCAGACCCACTGAGGGTGATGACGCCTGTGGCAGCAGCAGGGCAAGTGGCAGGGGAGTGAGAGGTCAGTACAGCCTTCACTTGCCCCTCCTCCACCCTCCTACAGACACACATACCCAATGGGACTCCATAGCTGGGAATTTGGCAGCAGGCTCTGCCCCTGTTTGTCCCATCCCAAAATTCCCAGAACCTCAGGGTCCCCTGTAGACCTCATGAAATGGCTCCATGGGACACATCCAAATCACAGGCCACATCTCTGACATCCCTACTCTAAACCATCAACCAGTCTCCGGGCTGGTATTGGTTTGTTGGGTGCTTACTGATGCTTCAGACACATTTTGCCAGAACTTTCACCAGGGCAGCATTTCAGCAGGACTGTTCTAATGTGCCCTTCATGTCTAACATCCAGCATCACTTCACACAAGAAGGGTTATAAGGAGTCAAATGAGGTACAAGAAAAATGGTTTTATTATTAGGCGCTGGAAAAGAGAACTGCTAGGTGTGACCTGACCTTTAAATGTATTGCTCAGATAAAGTCTCTCTGAAATGTGAGGATGAGGATCAATTACTGCAGTAAGTCTATTACCACCTGGCTACAGTGGTCTATCCAAACCCTATTGTGGAAAATGATTAGCCAGAGATGCCCTTACTCCTTGTAAAATATTCCACCGTGTATGGACTCTTTATTAAACATTAACTTTATTAAACTTTATTGGGGCATACAAACAGATTTTGTCATAAACTGTCTTTTTTCCCCATGTTTGGTCACATGTTCTTTGCTAGTAGCAGAGAAATCTGGGCTCAAATTCTGGTACTTGCACTTCTGTTTTTTACCTTACAAAATCCCATTAGTTTGTATAAGAATCTCAGCCCTAAATATAGGGGTCTGGATGAATCTTAGAGATCAATCATAAATATGGAAACAGGAGAAAGTTGAACTTCCACACACAAACAGAGAATTTAAGTCACAGCACTATTAAACTCAAAAACAAATACACAAAAAGGCAATAGTTAAGATGTTTTATCAAAGAAACACATTGACTGCAGGATTCAAAAAACTGGTTAATGATGAGTTTGATAGCTTTGTGTCTGAATCAGCCAGAGAAGCTATTCTACACCTGCACTGGGAATGTTATTTCTTAGAGCACTGGACTGGATATCTTTGACCAAGCTACCTCCCTGTGCTAGCTTATATCATTCATTTTTCACCGCAACAGAGGAGCAGTACAACATACATACCTTTTATAACTGCTATGAAGTTCAGTCAGTTAGAATTCAGTTAGAATGTAGCAGACAGGTACTTCACTAAGTACCTAAAGACTCTCAAATTTTGGGTGTTAAGGTCTGCTTTCTGCGTAAACTAGCACCTTGCTATTGGGACCAGAAGTCTCACGGAGTGTGAAATGGTCATATCCAGGGCAGGAAATCCCACTGGCAGGCATCAACTAGTGAGATAAGACTTTGTTTTTGATTAGTGCTGCAGGTCTGAAAATCCTTTGGGGATGAGAGACCAGATGCAAAAGAGAATCTGATTAGTGAATGGCATGTTTGTATACAGATGTAAAGGCTATAAATAACATAACATGAATGTTTCTCTCTTTTACTTTAAAGAAGGCTGAAACTGTATCTGTGCATATACAGAGTGAGAAAGGATGGTGCATTGGTTAGGACAGTAGATGGGACTGGTGAGGCCTGGGTTCAGGTCCTTCACCCACCACAGGCTTTCTGTGTGAGCTTGGGCAAATCACATAGTCTTTACCCCCGTACAATGTCAAGTGAGGGCACGGTGGCACTTTAGGCTAGAAACAGATGTCATCAAATTAAGCAGATCAGCTGTGCTGGGATGCATCCCAGCACAGCTGATCTGCTCCACTGGGTGAAACATGTTGCCAGTTGTCCTGCCTATTGATCCTGTGAGACAACAGATGATGCGTTGCCTGCTTACAGAGATGCACCATAGAGGTTCCCCCCCGGTGTGTCTCTGTAGACAGAGAAACCCCAGCTTTTCCCTGCTCACAGAGACATGTCACAGAAATTCCCTGGGGTGCCTCGATCTAAGCAGGGAAAGCCAGGCAGACAGTCCCAGGGAGCATGCAGGATTGGGCCCCTCAAGCCTTGGGATCACCTGCCCAAGGTGGCTGGAGAGAATGGGCAACTCTGATGGGAAGGGCTGGCTGTACTCTTGCACCATAAAGCAAACAGATGTCCACTGCTAAGCAGAGGCATAAATTGTTACCACCTATGTTGCAGCCACAAATTTTGGCCATTTGTGGCACAAGGGGCATGGACATCTGTTTCCTTGGCCTTTGTGCTGCCATAAACATTCTTCTGTTTCCACCCTTACAAACTGACCAGTTCAGAGAGGCATGAGCTTTCATACCCAACAACCTACTTTGTCAGATCT